AATTTTTGGTGTCAACTGTTACTTTAATTTGATGGATTTCTTCCTTGTTCACTCTGAAAATACACGTAGATTTCTATTCGTAGATAACTATTGCTCAGTAGCATTTCCTGTTTCAAATAAGTTTCAGTGCAGTACTGCAATAAATTACACAGAGATAACAAAATGCGCTACATTCTTTATCTTATGCAACTGTTTTGCAGTGGTGATATTAGCGTCCAGATTTTTTTACTCTGTTAAAAACATCCCGTCCACTTCTAGGTAAATTATTTTTGGGGAGGAAGCTCACAATCAGTCAAAGCTGACACTGGTTATAATGCTTGGCTGTGACCGTAATTTAGAGGATAGATTGGGATGAGGGCCAGTGCGATTACTGCGTCTCTGTTCCTCTAGAACAGAGCTCCACTGTGTTTGCTTTCCCTCTGTTGATATTCCCCAAACAGTCTGGCTGTTGTCACCAAAAAGCTCACACAGCCACAGAAGTGGACAGAGCCTCACTCTCCCCTCGTCTTGTCATGATTTGTCTCTTTTTCTTTTATCTGACTTATGTCACAGTGCCCCTCTTTGATGGAGTCTGCTGCAGACATGACCAGCGTCTGACGGCTTGTAATCAGCATAACAACACAAGTGCCTTTTTTTGTCTTCTGAATGAAGCTACCACTTACAATACAACAAAGAAAAGTTCAACATGACCAATACAGTATTTGTAATGGACATATACAAAGTTCACATATTTGGCACACTTTAGACTGTTGTGAGGGTTCCCAGCTAAACATTATCTCAGCAACCATGAGTACACAGGATATCTCTATGGATTTTAAGTCTAAAGATTTAAAAAGTAAACAAAATGTTAAAATTAGGACTGTGAATTGAATTTGTTAATTTACTGCAATTGCTGATGGAATTAGCAGATAATAAAGGTTTGAATGCATCTGCAAAATAAGAAATGTACTTTGATATGGAACAAAAACAAATTAAAGATAGTTATGAGCCTGACTTGTCAGTAGGCCTAAGTGATATTTTAGTATCATTGTGATAATATTATAGTATGTATTAATATTTTGAATTTGTTTATTTTTTTGCTTTCTGAAGTTATGAAGTTTTCCTTTTTATTTTAGTTAAAGTTTTAGTGAAACAATTTTAGTGTGTTTTTGTCATTTTATTTTTTTTATGTCTATATAATTTTTTTTAAATAAATTTTTACTTCGGTTTATTTGAGTTATTTTAGTACACCAAGTTAAACTAATTTAAAATGAAAAAATGTTGGCAACTAGCTGAAATAAATTATTATTATAATTTTTTTAATTGGTCACCTTATTTTAAGGACCAGTTCTTATGATTAACTACTAACTGCAACTTTTGCCTCAGTAAACTACTAATTTGCAACTTATTAATAATTAGTAAGGTTGTTAAGTTTAGGTATGGGGTAGGAGTAAGGGATCCAAAATGTGGTCATGCAGAATAAGGCGTTAATATGTGCTTTATAAGTACTAACACACAGTCAATATGCTAGTAATATGCATGATAATAAGCACCTATAGTTAATAGTGAGAATTGGTCCCTAAACTAACGTGTTACCAATTTTTTAAATTCTATTTTAAGTTAATATTATTTTTATTCATAAGTGTGGGTGTCATTCACCCTGGCCCACATTCGCATAATTATTATTTTTAAGCTTGACGTACTACTTTTAAACAATACTATTAAAACCAACTTTCATAATGTCTATTCAGTGTTTCAGTGTCTTTTAGTTAAGTTAAATTGGGGCAAATTTCCAACAAATGCACTGATATGTGATTAATGTAGTTAATTAAGTGTCATATCATGAAATTAATTCAAATTAAATGCTTAATTGATTTACAGTCATATTTAAAAAAAATTTTACACTGTTAAAAAGTACAATGTTAATGTCTTTATATGTCATTTTCATAGTCCTACCCAAACCTGAGGCCGGTTACGTCACCGTTTCGCAGGGCATTGTTGAGGCGAACTGCTCAGCCGTGTCACGTCCTGCAGCAGAGATCTCCTGGAACGTGGAGGGTCATAATCAAACTCTGGGCCCTGCCGTCACATCATTTTATCAGCTAGGGGACGGCACCACCATGGTGGTCAGTTCCATTGAAATGCAGACTGAGCTACTGGACGATGAACTTGTGAAGTGTGAAGTTCGTCACCAAGGCCTTGAGTCTGCCATCTATGTGTCTCTGAATAAATGTGAGTGAAACTTACTCAACTTGATGTTTTTGTCCTGTTATGTTCTGGTTTGTTTCTAGACTGTTGTGAATATTTGATTTGTTTAGTTAATATGTGTGTGTGTGTTTTTATTGCAGCCAGGAACGTCCACGTCATTCTCATTTCAGCCAGCTGTGTGGCCCTTGTGCTGCTCATATGTCTGTGTATCTGCCTGAAGAGGTGCTAACTTCACCTGCTGATAGGGTCAGTAGCACCATGCAATGTCTGTCCACTTTAATATCATGTCTCACATTAATTTAATGCTGAAGCATGCACAATTTTTTATTGTAATTTACAAAGTAGTTCTTAAATAATGCTTATATAAATGTTAAATGCTGTTGGATCCATGCCTTTATGTTTTAAATATAAGGGTGTACACATATAAGGATGTAGAAGTTTGTGTGCAAGAATAAGCACAGGAAGAAGAAATTGTTTACTTTGGATAAAGCCGTAAATATTATTTTTTTTAAACTCTTTGCTTTTGACACTCATTTTTGACAGGGTGAAGCAACAAGTTCAGAATTTGGATGACCACAGGCACATTACTGTGTTGGAATTCAAATCAAGTGTTTTTTATTTATTGTTGAGGGACAGAAGTATTTCAGTCCACCTTGTTAAAAATATCTATATAACCCATACGCAAATGTAATATGTGTACATACATATTAGATTTCCACATATTAAATATGCTGCCATATGAAGTAAAAACATATTTGAAGTCTATTAGAAATTTGATCAATTTTATATATCAACATATATATCTAGTCCTTACAAACATTATATGTTTATGTGGTCACACTTTATTCTAAGGTCCAATTCTCGCCATTAACAAACCATTAACTACAACTTTTGCCTCAATAAACTCCAAATTTGCTGCTTATTAATAGTTAGTACGGTAGTTGTTGAGTTTAGGTATTGGGTAGGATTAGAGATGCAGAATATGGTCATGCAGAATATGTGCTTTATAAATACTAATACGAAGCCAATATGTTAATAATAAGCATGCTAATAAGCAACTAGATAATAGTGAGAATTGGTCCCTATATAGAAGTGTTACCATTTATGTATGTAAACCTGTCATGTAAATATAAAAGATATACATGTATTTAAAAATATATATTACAAAACATATATAAACATACTGATTGTTATATGTTGTTTTAATGTAAGTTAAATATATAAAATAAAACGCTAACACTTTATTTTAAGGTGTCCTTGTTACACGTGTTTCATGTACTTACTATTATAATAACAATAATTTATGCATAATTACATGCAAGTAACACTTAGCCAAACCCTAAACATATAGTAAGTACATTAATGTATAATTACACTGTAACAAGGGCACCTTAAAATAAAGTGTAACCATTAAAACATGTGGTTGTTACATATAATACAAAACAAATCATCATATAGATATGATTAACATATGTACATATACAAATTTACTATGGGGATTTTATATATGTTATAAACTAAATTATATATACCCACTGAATGCAAGTATGTATGAAAATGATATATTGCCTGATATGTTACATGTATGGTAATATCAGTCTTGATATATAAGACGTATGGAAATAGTAAAATATAACTATAGAAAAATATATAATATTATAATATCATATTTAAATACTTTATACATTTTAGATTTTTAGATGGACTGTATATTGTGTTTCACCCTATTAAGTTAAAAGTTAATTAAGTTAAAGACTGCATTATTGTCAATAAATACCCCAGATGCCTTTTACAGAGGAGATGATGAAAACAGCTACTGGAGAAATGTATAGCCGGAAATTGAGAGAGAGACGCCAGAATGACTCACTAACCTCGCACAATCTGTCTTCTTTATCCAAGTCTTCCTTCCTGCTTCATTCTCTTCAACTTTCCTCTCATAGAATCTGCAGGTCACCTTAGAGGGTCGAAAGGAAAAAAAAGTTTTACTTTTTTAGTTTTACATTCAAACTAAAGCAGCTAAATCCACCCAAGAAGCCTTGGGGCGTGAAAAAAGAGCCTCAGGCCAGTCATATGGGAAGTCAAATCATTCTGTTCAGGTTGTGTTCATTGAGTCATTCTCTCATAGCTCATTACTGCACTAAACACTTGACTTATAATCAGTGAAGTGGTCCTAAATTTCTTCTGCTCGGTTGTGATTTCTGGTTTGAATTTTATTGCATTAGAAAGTAACTAAAATAAGTAAGTAATTTAGTAAGCACTGAAATATGTTTTGTTGTCAGATAAAATGTAAACAGTGTAGTAGCAAAGGTTATAGTGAAACCAAAGCCAAGGGTGAAGTATGTTTATACAGAGCCCCGTTTATGTACAGAACCACAGAAAGTCTAAGGTATTACCACTTCCTGTCTCTTGCAAGAAGCCCATCTTATACCGTGACCGTTTAATATTTAAAATGCTTCTACAGAGTCAAGGAACAAATGCAGTGTGATGAACACAAATTCAATGGGAATTGCCATTGCAACTTATTTTACTTCAATGATGGGAATGATTTATGAGTGAAACAGGAAATAAATGGAGGGCACATTATTTTATTCATCAAAATTCAGAACTTGATTAAATCATGAAAAGTGGGTGTTAAATACCAGAATGGAGTGAGAGTGATGTCTACAGAGATTTTGAGATTATAAAGATAATAAAGTTAACTTTTTTTTATTTTTTCTGATGAATCATTCACAATAAGAAGATTGAAGAAAGTAACTTGGCCCTTTAGAACTGAATGTTACATTCCATTTGACCCAAAACTGTATTGCTGTTCCTTAAATGTTGAGTGTCACATTTGTCTGAAGTTTCCAGAGGAGGATGAGCTCCTCCAGTTGAGCCTGGTTCCTCCCAAGATTATTCTCCCTCTTCATATAAACATCTTTATTGAGCTTTTCTTTGCTACTATCACCTTTGACTTGCTTCCCAAGGACATGAAGGCAATAAACGTCTTTACACCTGCTTTGGAATCTATTTTAAGTGTGTAAAAACGGTTTTTTTTTTAACCCAGTGTATTTTGCAGAGCTGTTCATACACTGAATTCTGTGAACAGTGGAAACATTGTGGCTCTGTGGTGTTTGTCAAAACACTGCTCTGTGTGTGTGAGCCGTAAACCTCTGGCTCAAATCAGTTTGAGCTCGACTATTTGTAGTAACTTGTTTATTCGAGAATTTACTAGTTTATTTTTGACCTCTGTATCATTTAGAAAAAATGAATATCATTTAAAGAAATATTTTAATTGTATAACAGACCACAAATATACTCTATAAATATACTTGCCCATGTTTATGCTGTAATGTTCCCATGCAGTTAAAGGCATAGCCTATTACATTTGCATTTAGTCATTTAGCAGACGCTTTTATCCAAAGCAACTTACAAATGAGGACAATAAAAGCAGTCAAAACTAACAAAAGAGCAACAATATGTAAGTGCAAATGACAAGTCTCGGTTAGCCTAACGCAGTACACATAGCAAGGTGTATATATATTATTATTACTATTACAAAAGACTAACTGAATACAAAGGTTTTTTTTTCCACTTTAAACAATATTTTCATAGAGAGAGGGGAAAAAACAATCCAGAGTTTCATATTGGAAGCACCTCAGGACATGGGGAAATGGTCACATCTGCTTGAACAAAATGAGTGAAATTATTTTAAATTCACCATCATTTTTTAAAAATATGTGATATTATGATAAAATAAAACCAACTTTCATGTTACCCATTATTGTAAGACGTATATGATGGAGTCATGAAGATGTACCGCATAGTAGAAATGAACCCAGGCAGCAGTCGTTTTAAGCTGTAAAAGTAGTTTATTTTTCATTCCGTTTCAATACTGATGCAATCTCATGTGAGACAGGAAAAAGCCTCAACCAGAATAATAAAGGAACATTGTTCATCATTCAACCCAGCCCTGTATCAACTCAAGATGGAGAACATCAGCTGCAGGAGCAGGAGGATTATATTGAACACTTGTTGTTGTTAAAAAGGCTTTTGCTGTGTAATTATAGGATATTAAAATTTCTTTTTCCTGTCTCTTCTTTCTTCAGGCTGACTGAAATGAAAGGAGATGCTGCTATGTTCAGATGTTAACCCTGACCAAACAACAGTGTTCCCTCTGTCTGAATCACAGACGAATCTGAGTCAACGTCTTCTAATATAACTGATATTCAGTGTAACAGTATAAAAACAGACATTTAATCACAACACTTTCAACACTAAATGCCTTATTTATTATAGACTGTATATTTTAGTAAAGCATTTTTTCTTAGCGAAGCTGTACTGAATCATACTCTTTAAAGTGCCCTAAATATAAGCAGACTTATATTATCTGAATGCTGACATTCTGTAACCATAGAAAAGTCAATAACCAGAACATGTTATTGTTAGCTTTACTGATGTTTTGATGAGTGTAATACAATAACTCTTGTAGACATGAGCACTTATTTGGCCTTTGGTGCCAAGTTATTGTCTTGATGTTTGGATTAAAGTGATTAAAGTATTACAAACAATGAGGGAAGTGCACTCTTAGCTAAAACATTTATCCCACCCATGTTATTCTGAAATTATGTATTTCCATTCCCCTTCACACCTCTTTGTATTTTATGTGTTTTATATAAGTTCTCTGAAACCTCTCAAATAAAAAATGTAAACATGCACTTTGTTAATTTTAAACTGTGTGACATTGTCGGACATAAGGTATTGTATATAATTTTGCGTTGTTAAAAGATAAACATATGGTGAGTCAGAGGTGTACACCATATGTTTTCACTCTAATAATAATAATGTACCAGATCTACAGCAAATTTCATAACATGTTAAACAGTAGAAAATATGTAACTAATAATTCCTTATTATCAGTTTCATATTTTTATACATATCTCTTTCTGAACTCGTTGTTTTGCCCATCTGTTCTATGATATATGCTGTATTTTTATTTATTTATTTTTGTGGATAATGGGTTTATCTAAATATCTTCTCAATATAAAAAACAAAACGGAAGTATATATTGTGTTTCGTGATGTTTTATAAGGAATTTATTAAAGAAAAATATATGAATCAGCAATTCACAAATACAACAGCACAACATTTCTGAAACAACTGTGGAGTAATAATTTCCACAGTTGGTCTTATTACTACAAAGCAATCTGAACTGCAATATATGAACTGAATTTCTGAAGTATTACAGTCACTTAATCTTTACACTTAACATTAACAACTGAATGACCAAAAAAAATAAAAAATCTCTTCACATTGCCTGATGATTCAGAAGCATATTAAATAACATTCTGTTCTTCTGATGCTGCTCTGCGTCAGTGCACAGGTACAAAAATGGTACAAAACGGTCACTGGGGCGGTACCCTTTATAAAGGTTTAGTACGTATGGATGTATGTTTAAAGTACTAATGTGAAACTTTAAAGTATATGTACCATAGGGGTAAACGGGGTACAAAGATGTACATTTTAGCTTTTGTAACTTAGGGCATCACCCCAGTGACAGCTTTGTACCTTTTTTCTGTGAGAGTATAGATTCTTAAACATGGTATACAACAGAGGTCAGCACGTCTGAGTTCAGATAGAGATGGGGAGGAAGAAGCAGGTCATTTTTTTGTGTTTCCATGTACTGTGGAAGTGAAAACAGCATTTAAAAAAAAATGTTTCAACAGATACGATAAAAAGTTCCACAGACATATTTAAAACAAAACATACCTGATTTTTATTTGCCATATCTTTTCTTGTAGACTTTCTCTCTAAAATATTTCATAGGATTATGCAAGGAAACACAAAACTAGTATAATTTATAAAGCAACTGTTATGTTTAGTTAAAACACTCAAATCACTCACCTTGGCGTATAAAGATATAAAGAAATGATACAATCATAACTATGAAGACCAGCCCCACTATTCCACTGCAGATGTATACAAAATACCAAAGCCACTGCAGACCATCGTTTGGAGGTGTATGTACTGTTGTAGGCACTTAACAAGGAGAAAATATTAAAGAGATGTAGTAATTATCCTACATAAAAAGTTGACAATAATGTGTTGTAAAGGTCATGTCCTTACTTGTGTGGTTCGGAGTGGATGAAAACTCTTCGTTCTTATTATCAGCTGAAAATATAATAAAAATGTCTTAGTAAAGACATTACATAATAGTTTACAATTTGTAATCAACAAAATGTGTGAATGTTTACATTCTATTAGTGAATCTTACCTGTCACAGTCACATTAATAGCATGGCCGATAGACATGTCGCCTTCTTTACATCTGTAGAAACCTGTATCCTCCATTGAGATGTTCAGGAAAACCAGGAAAGTCATCCCTTCATGTTCTGTGATGTTTGTCCACTCATTTCTTAAGTGATTTGAGTAATTTAAAGATGTACAGACATCTCCATAGAGTTTGCACCATGAGACTCTTGGGTTCCTGTGACATCCATATAGAGTTATAGTACAGTTTATCTTCAACACGCTCATAACAGGAGCTAGAAACACTGTGTTTCGTGGCACTCTGACCAATGAATAACAATTCATCTCAGACTCTAGGAATGAAAGAAAACAGGGAAAAAATGTAGGTAGACCAAGAAAAGCCTATAGAGATTTCAAGAAAGATTGGTATCGGCATTGACAATAAGTGTAATTTTCACATCACGACTTTCAATCCTAAAAACGTAAAGTGAAATTTGAAAGTAAAAAGAATGTTAACTGATGTAAACTGTACTAGGCCAAATTTATAAAAACAGAAATATATATAAATATATAAATCAGAATCAGATCCACTATTCTGTATCCAGAATAGTAGAGAGTACATTTTTAGTATGTCAGGTCTTTAGATAGCTTTAGATAGCTGTTTAAGACCATAAGCCAAATTTTCATACAATCCTGAAAAAAGTTTTTGATACTGTTATTTAAACTAATAAGACTATTTACTGGTATAAACATTAATAGGACAACTTTATAGAACAAATAAAGAACAAATCTCATGTGTGCGTGTTTGTACAAATGCTGAAACACCTCACCGTATACATCTATGATGAATTGTTTCGATTTTTTTTTCATAGAGGTGGTTTAACATTTCATAGTAACCATTAGTGTAATGCAGCACATTGATGTCTGAGGCTTTACCTTTGCTTATTCTATGGTTTTGGACATAAAGTCAAAGGTTCTTCATCTAAATTAATTAGATTTAAGATGAATTAGAGAATTATTCAAATGTAAGTATACAGTAAAATATAAATGAAAATTCTGTTATTCAAATTTATAAGAAAATATTTAACAGCATGTAAAATAAATTTATAATATATAATAATTGTATATAAAACTATTATATGTCAGTGATTTTTTTTCTTCAATGCAACAAACAGCAAAACTTTTGTCAGGTCAGGTAAATAACAATACTCACAAAACCCTCAGAACATTATCTGCCATATGCATTGCACACATGCCATGGCATTACATTTAACAAATATACCATAATACAGCCCAACACATCACATTTAGGAATATATATCTGACTGACATCAGTCAGTCTATAGGGCAGGTCTGAATACTCACCATTCGTGGTGCTGCTGACAATGGCACACATCAATATCACAATAGTGGCCAAGATAATCTGGAAGACAGAGTTGCTTAACGTTGAAGGTCTTTTATCAGAAAATGCATATTTAAAAACTAATATAAAAATGAGAGCTGTGCACACTGTCATATGTGGGTGAAATGGAAGCTGTAAGTTCTTCCAAGACATCTCTTACCATCTCTGTTTCTCTTTTCTTGTACTTCTTAACTTGTATCTTCAAATCCTTGACTCACAGGTGCTTTTCACCTGTGTAGTTTCTCACCAATTCTTTTTATTTGTTAGTCGGCTTTGTGTCTGTGTCCGTTTCTGATGGTTGTTCTTCTTAGTTTGTCTTCTTTCCTCATTGACAGTGTCAAACCTCATCTTGTGTGTCTGTAGTGGTTTCACACACCTTGTCCAGGGTGGTTGAACCTCCATGCAAATATTGAAGACAAAAAGGGATTAAGAAACAGTAGGCAGTGTTGCCAATTTAGCAGTTTTGTTGCTAGATTTGGTAACTTTTCCCTAGACTATCCTATAGAAGCACCAAGCAAATAGCTATTTTATTTTATTTAATTTAGCTATTTTTAAAATGTATTTGGTAACTTTTGAAAAGTGACTCAATCAATAAAAAGACACTTCCTGTAACCCTATAACACAACAAAATGCAAAGCATAATTAAAAATACAGGTAAAATAACTGTGAAAAGCAACACGGAAAATTATTTCATATTGAGACTTCTTTTCATATTTCATAATGTTTCACAATTGTTTTTTTTTGTTTTTTTTACAAACCTTTCTATTACCTAACTAAAAATATACTACTTAAAACTATAGCCTATTGTGTAATTTTACTATTTATTATGAAAATACATTAAATGTAATTGTTTAAGAACATGTAACTTCAATAATTCAATGTTGTGTTTATACTACTACAAATAATATGTTTATATTACTTTTATGAACACATCTAAATTAACATATTTCTAATAAAAATTTTCGCTGAGATAACTAGTCACTTTGAGTAATTTCATGCAATGACACGATTTTACCAATTTTATGTTGTTACATAAGGACTTTATCGTGTAATGACATTTCAAGGTCATTTAGCAACTTTTAGCAACAAATCAACCTGCCTTTAAGCAACTTCCACTGAAAATGGGTTGGCAACACTGACAGTAGCACAATGAGTTCAAATGAACTCAGGGGCACCTCCTTGTGGATAATGACTGAACAGCAGCACAGTCAGAATTGTTAAATACTTTTACATTTTATATGTTACCAATACATCAATATTGTACATTTTAGTATTTATGCAAACATACAAAAATGTATGTGGTAAACATTGAGTATGAAAACCTATGAATGAGATGATAATTTGTATGAGTATACTATAGCAAAATATCTAGTGCAACCAAAGTAGTTTTTACAGAACTTTGTTGATGTACAGAACCACAGGAAGTCTAAGGAGTTACCACTTCCTGTCTCTTGCAAGAAGCCCTAAGCTTACCTTATACCATGACTGATGGCTTTTTAGTTGCCATTGGTAACAAGAAATCATTGCTTACAGTCATCCTATCATCAATCACTTCAATAAAGTGCTCCTACAGATTCAAATAAATATGTTCACTTGTTTAGACAAACTACTTAAAGTCAATGTGAACTGTCATTTACTGCCAATTATATTTTCATAATGTGACCCATTTACAAGCGATACAGGATATTCAACAAGAACATACTAAATATGGGGTACTGATTGGATCATGACAGCGAACGTTACATACCAGAATTGAGTGAGACCAATGCAATTAAAAAACAATATCTAAGTAGATGTTTGGTATTGATAACATTATGCAGTACTCCTCAAGGCCTATGTGATATCAGCAAAAAAGAAAAGTTATTTCATAACTTTTAGGAAAAGCATATACATTTTGAAGTGCTAAAGTGTGTGTAATGTTGTGGCGCTATCAAAAAACTGCTCTGCTTGTAGGAGTATTCATCTATAAATATGCTCTTGTCAAGCACTTGCACTTGTTACTGTCACTCAATGACAGGAAGGAAATCAAGAGCTTCAAGTCAGCCATCAGATTGATAGTTAATTTACAAGAGCATGTCAACTTAAAGTTAGCTTTGATATTATCATATTAAAATATTCATAACATGCACTGCTAATACTTGCTCATTGGAGAACAATGCATTAAGGAATTGGCAAAACGACTATCAGGAAGGAAAGTAATTAAGAAAAATGAAAACATGTTTGTTTGAAATGTTTCTGTTAGAGAAAGAAAAAATATCAAGAACCTAGAATATTTCTTCATAAACTTCCAGTTTCGAAGTTTCGTTTACTGCCACTAGTGAAGCAGAAAGCACTTAACCTCTAAATCACTGCATTAGCACATCTTTGGTCACACTTTATTCTAAGGTCCAATTCTCGCTATTAACAAATCACTGACTACGAATTTTGCCTCAATAAACTCCTAATTTGCAGTTTATTAACAGTCAATAAGGTAGTTGTTAAATTTAGGTATTAGGTAGGATTAGGGATGTAGAATATGGTCATGCAGAATATGTGCTTTATTAGTACTAATAAACAGCCAATATGTTAATAACAGGCATGCTAAAAAGCAACTACTTAATAGTGAGAATTGGTCCTTATACTAAAGTGTTACCCATTCTTTAGATAGGAATCATTTATTCATTCAGTCTCTTATTGTTATACATCAGTAATGAATTTAACATTTAACCAGAAGTGAATCAACCATTGATTTGCTATACAAATCTGGGGCCAGACTGACAAAAAATTCCAAGTTTGTAATTATGTTCCTCAATGCAATTCTTGAAAAAAAGAAAAATAAATAAAAATCTTGAGCTGTTGAGGAAATGTACTCCAAAGTGACGCCAAACGGGAACAGGCCACCCACTCTAATAGTGTAGCTCCTCCCCCGAATAAGTGGTACAAATTTATTCTTCTTAAGGTGCTTTTCTGTTTTTATTTATTTTTTTGCGTCATATTAACATCATAGACAGCAGTAGCTATATTATGCTGCTGTCACTTTAATACACTGATCTAATATAGTACATGTATGTTGTTTGTATTCTTTAACTGTTTAAGTGCAATAAGATGCAAAAGAGAACTTAAGTTGCATCCCAAACAATGCACTATGTACTTATACACTATGTAGTGTATGAGTTATATAACATTATTATGTCATTCACAATCAAATATGATAGCCCACCCCCCTCCGCTACATAATTAAGGCCCCGATCAGACAGAATGAGTTTTTTTCTGATAGCTAGTGGCAGTTTATTCCACAGATTTGGACCGCTTACCGCAAACGCACGATCACCCTTGAGCCTAGATCTAGTTCTGGGCACTGTTAAGAGTGCCAGATCACTGGATCTAAGTGATCTAGAGGGAACATCTCTTACGAGGAGATCTGCAAGATAAGGTGGAGTGCGGTTATTAATAGACTTAAATACCATGACCAGGATTTTGAACTCAATTCTGTATTTTACAGGTAGCCAATTCAATGAAACAATGATGGGAGTGATTCTGGACTAGTTGCAGCCGATCTAGAGATGACTTATTAATACCGCAGTAAAACCAGTTGCAATAGTCTAGGCGGGAAAATATCAGCGCATGCATGATTTTCAGATTTTCAGCACATCAAAGAAATTTACATCAAATGGTTCTGTAACATCTCCTAAGATCCACAACATCCCAGTATAGATGCTCCCGATAAAATATTTGTTATTTAGGCTAAGCATCAACATTCACAAACCAGTGTTATTTTTAATAGAAAAGCAAGCATGGGCTGCTGCGTGCATGGTTTGGCATGGCAGAATGCCAGCAGCGCTTCCTTTATTATCACTAAAAGCTGACTTCTCAGTTCATCGCGATCTCATAAAGCTCTGTTATAACACAATGAACATATGCACAGTTAATCTTTCACAATTTCGACACTTCAAGATTCGTGAGCACGCAATTTCAGCACTGCGGTGAGTAGATTCTAACTTAATCACCTCTGATTGGTCATTGCGTTCCAGAAATCATCAGCTGAGTCTGTGATTGGATACATGGCCATTGCGTTCCAGAAATCATCAGCTGAGTCTGTGATTGGATACATGGCCATTGCGTTCCAGAAATCAACAGCTGAGTCTGTGATTGGATACATTGCGCAACCCTTTAATCACGTGTTATAAATAGAAACTCTGCCTAGCTTGCGTGTGTTAATCATTTTAATGTTAAATTAGTTGTTCTTTTTGCTTTTGTGCAACACATAAATAACAATTTATATGTTTTAGACATTTTATGTTTAGATCATTTCTATTTTGCGGGAGTCCCGCGAATCATTTTATTCTCCCGCATCCCGCGCACACACGAGTCTCTTCCCGCCCGCACCCGCACTCGCCCATCAAGAGTTGTACCACGCCCTGTTGCGTTGGGTCCCGCGGTCTCTATTTTGGTGTCTGTCGCAGGTTACCCGGAGCTGTATTTTTTAAGGTTTCTGCTAATATAACTTTTTAATAACAGCAAAAACCAACGATTTTAGAGCGCTCGCGCTATAATCCTTTTGATTAGACTGACAGGACAGCTGATTTGGTGGTTGCCTAGCAACAGCGGCAACAATTGACCTTATGCACGATTACTTCCTGGTTTTAGATAAGCCAGCTCAGTCATTTCCGGTCAATTGTACTGTGCTGTAAGGGGAGCGCTCTTTGCTTAGTTTCTATACAAACTCCATTCACAATTTGAAGAAAATGTTTGTTTATCTAAGAGGACCAAACATCCACATATACCATTTCAGGAATGACAAACGTGGCGGGTGTTACATATTACGTGGGTAAATCTGCTAAATTGTTCAGCGACTCATTGCTAAATTTAAAGTAGCAAAACTACAACAGTAACACGTCTGTGTTGACTGAATATGTTTAGCAGCTTTTACATTTAAAGATAAAACTTAATGTAGTTACTAAATTAAATCAAAAAAATATTTCAAAATATTTAATGCATTATTTAATTGTTATACCATTAATAATGAACTTATTTCATTTGTAGTTAACTAGTTAAGTATTTAAATAATTCTCCCTAATACATATTTATTTATTTATTTATTAAATGACATGAGACTTTGTGATTCCTGCACTTGCTATACTTTATACTTCAGTACAATAAAAGTAGACAAATTTGGAGTTGAAATGGCAGCTGAGCTAATGAGTGATCCTCTGCTGCCATCTACTAGTTATAATGGTAATTTAATGTCATTTTCATCTTAAAAGTCTTTGTTTTCCGCTAGGAGACACATTTTTTTCATGTCATCTTCATGAATGAAAAGTATATCTTTAAAGTGAATTTTACTGCAAAGCCATAGAGTTGAGACGGCAAATATTATAAGTGTTTAAAATGTGTTCATGATTATGAAGGTAAGTTATTGATTATCAATACAATACAATTTTATTTATACAGCACAATTTAAAAACAATCGGAGTTGACCAAAGTGCTTTACAACACTATACAAACAATAGGCAAATTAAAACACAGCAACAGAAAAAAAAAAATAATTAGTAAAACAATATAATACTTAAATATATTAAATGTACACAGAATAAACACAAGCTGTAAAAATGTATGGCGCTCCTAAGAAGTCAGACAATTTGTCATGGGATATCAAATGCCAATGATAATACATTTCAATATATATATATATATATATACTATCAATAATACCATTATGATGTAATTTGGGAGATAGCATCTCTAGTTACCTAATGTTAGCCTAAACAGTTGATGTTTAGCAGCTTTTACATTTAAAGATAAAACTTAATGTAGTTACTAAATTAAATCAAAAAAATATTTCAAAATATTTAATGCATTATTTAATTGTTATACCATTAATAATGAACTTATTTCATTTGTAGTTAACTAGTTAAGTATTTAAATAATTCTCCCTAATACATATTTATTTATTTATTTATTAAATGACATGAGACTTTGTGATTCCTGCACTTGCTATACTTTATACTTCAGTACAATAAAAGTAGACAAATTTGGAGTTGAAATGGCAGCTGAGCTAATGAGTGATCCTCTGCTGCCATCTACTAGTTATAATGGTAGTTTAATGTCATTTTCATCTTAAAAGTCTTTGTTTTCCGCTAGGAGACACATTTTTTTCATGTCATCTTCATGAATGAAAAGTATATCTTTAAAGTGAATTTTACTGCAGAGCCATAGAGTTGAGACGGTAAATATTATAAGTGTTTAAAATGTGTTCATGACTATGAAGGTAAGTTATTGATTATCAATACAATACAATACAATGCAATTTTATTTATACAGCACAATTTAAAAACAATCAGAGTTGACCAAAGTGCTTTACAACACTATACAAACAATAGGCTCGGCATATAAAACTATGTGTTGTTAAATAACATGAAACTGATAGTTAATGGCATCATCTATCATTATTGTTATGCTTACCGTGTTGCAATTTTTTTTTTCTCGATTTCTGACAAGAACGAGGCAGGAGAGGTTTCTGTAAGGGTCTCAAGAGTCTCTACCTATATAAACCACAACATTATGTGAGTACGTACACACACACACACACACACACTCACACTGCCATTATATGAATGATCTAAATACAGATAAATCTGAGTCAGTGTCTTCTAATGTAACTGATAGGTTTCAATGTGAAAGTGTAAATACAAACATTCAATCACACTTACAACACTAAATGTCTTATTTATTAAACTGTTTATTTTAATAAAACATTTTATTAGCCAAACTGTAATGGATCATACACCTAAAAGAGATCTAAATATAAGCAGAACTTCTGTCTGTAACATTCTCAGTAACCAAAAGTCAATAGACAAAATGCTTTACTGATTTGTTGGTGTGTTTATGAAACACAACAATGTTTTAACACTTTTTTACACATGAGCACCTTCTGGTGCCAAGTTATTGTTTTCTTGATGTTTACATTACAGTTTTTTTAACTGCTTACATTTTCAAAACTTTGCCTCTTTTTTTCAAAACTTTACACACAAATCCAAGAATTGCACACACAAAATGCAAAATGCCTCGCATCACTTTCAAAATATCACAAACACATCTCAAAAGCAAACATTTGCAAACACCTTTGCCATAATATTAATTCCTGTTAGATTTTTGTGTGTTACATACAGAATTGTGTGAGTCAAAGGCAGAGAATTAGTGTATGGTTTTGCAGATTTTGTGTGAGGTTCTGGTGTGTCAGGTTTCAGAAATTGTGTCACAAGTAAAGATTTTGTGTGCAAGCAGTTGAAAAAAAGGGAAGTTTTACTTGAACTGTGTCTTATTGTCCCTCTAGGGGGAAGTGTACTCATAGCTGAAAATGTTTAGCTCACTCATGTAATTTGAGTGTTTCTATTCCTTTTCACGCCTCCAAACGTGTTTCATTTGTTTTGTATAAAAAGTTCTTTGAAATAAAAAAGGAAATATGCACTTTGTTAAAGTCCGCCAAACACTGTCAATCACACAATAATGCGTGTAGTTTGTTTTCTGAAAGAGAAACACAAGGTGATTTTGGGTCAGAGGCATCTAACTTGTGTGTTTTCATCCACCTACTCATAAAGGAAATAATAAAAAAAAAGTCACACCACATTTCACAGTTACTTCACCTGGTCTACAGTGATGTTCATAACTTGTTAAATGGTTGTGCTGTACACAAAAGCCTTTGGCATTTTTTTATTATGCAAAAGGAATTTTATTTGCAGACATTATTATTATCTTTACACATTGGTTTGCTAATCTGGGGCACGTTTTCCAAAAGCAACTAAGGTCGAAAGTTCCGTTGTTACCAATAGAGTTCAATGGAACTTGCGACCATAGTTAGCTAACGATGCTTTTGGGAAATACACCCCTGTCCAGTACAATGTTGAGGCCAATTAACATGCTTGAAGCGGAGCCACATTTGTCTAGATCTGCAAAAAACAAACAAAAAAAACCCGACCAATTTGTACGTATTATATGACGTGGCTCTTTTTTTTTTACGGTTTAGGGGTGGTCCTTTGTCCTAATTCCTACAAATTTGCCACCTTGTAAAATACATACGATTTTTCACCAACAGACAAATTTGTGTGAGTTAGTTCGTATGAATTCGTATGAATTAGCCACCTCGTAAAATATGAACAAATTGCCGTGATATCTTTTTTTTGTGGATATTGGTTATTTTAGGGTTGACCCTTCAGATTATATCATTATGCCAGTAGGTGGTGACAAATTATTTATGGTATCATATGGTGAGTAATTTGTCTACAAGCCTGAAGAAGATAATCTCCAGAAAGGGCATTTATGGATTCTGAAACTATCAGCTAAGCAGATCTAAAATTTTCCTTGGTTTTCATTCACAGTATTGTTCAAAGGTTTGTTATAAAAAACTCATTCTCAAACATAACACCGCTGAGTGCAGCCAGTTTAAGACACATAAATATGTTTGCATATT